AAATATATATATATATATATATTTATTAACACATAAATATATATATATATTTATTAACATATATATATATATATATATATATATTAACATATATATATATATATAAACAGCATAAAATATAAAAATTTCTTCAACAAAAATAATAATTAAAATTGTACATGTATGAATTTTTAAAAATATTTATTAAAATAAGAAATAGACAGCATAAAATATGAGTATTTCCCTTCATTATAGTTAAATAAAAAGATAAATAAAAATTTTAATGTGAACCTCGTGCTCGCACCGCTCTGCTTTCATATCGCAAAATCAGAAGTATAATGTGTGACTTTCAATTTGACACGATTCTAAACATTCAGTAGTTAAACAATTTCTTGGCGGACTCGAAGTATTTTTCATAAGAGGAAAGAATTTTTACTTTGATATACAGAACCACAAGTAGAAAGCAAAATACATGTAATTTTCTCTTCAAACGATTAAATCTCTCTCCAGTAATGACTTTCAATGATTTACAAGATATTTGTAAATTTATTTTTAGAGTTATCTTTCAGATTTTTTCATAGTTCCGTAAATGTTCATAATTTTAAAGATCTTTGTCAAATAAAGTCTATTACAAATTTATCAACTTCCATCCGTTCAAAAATTGACACATCTGTAGAGTAGGGCCGGGTGCCACATGTGGCAAGTGTGCCAATAGTTGCGGACCCCTGATTTAATCCTACATCAGTCCCGCTACACGACATGAATTTCATTGAAGAGGAAACGTTTATATTCTATTTTTAAAAAAATTCTCTTTCAAATTTCTTTCTGGGTTTAATTTTGAATAATCTCTCATTTGCTTTAAGAATTCGGCTTTTCACACTATAAGGCAACACGAGGGTTATTGTCGATGGACCTCGTAATTTTGAACCTCAATCAAATATCCAGGGAACATCTGAGCTGTGGCCCCACCCATCCAAACTACCACACCAACGGGAGGACATTGAGCCTTGACAGATTTAACGCGCATCAGCCCCTCTACTCGGTGGGTCTTCATGGACACCAGGACTCGAACCCTCGACACTCTCGCCACGAGTCTTATTTCTGGGAATTAATACCTCCTGAAATATGACTGTGTTCTGAAAATGATTTTTATCGCATTGAATTTATTATAATTAGGTTTAAGTTCATTTTCATTTCATGAATATTTCTTGATCATAAACTGCTGAGACAAAATTACAAAAGCCTACAAAATGACCACTACCCATAAGAATAATAATAAAAAAAAAAGAAATATACCTTAAGAGAGTTGTGTACAATATTTACTATGAAGTCTTGAACCACAATCCATTTCCTAGTCAAGAAATGCTTCAACTGTATGAAATAAGAGGTCGTATATAACTTATGAATTGTACCATTCTATTTGATACAAGCAATGGAACAGCCCCGGAGGCGAGGATTATCTAGAGAATCCCATATCTCGAAATTTTCAGAAATATTTATGCATTCAAGCCAAAAAATGAAGTCACTTCGAAACTCTCTTACAGGCGTTATGAGAAAGAGCAGCTTTCTCTTTAAAAATTACTTTATTGTGCAAATTAATTTGCCAAACGGTTTGAGACAAATGTACCAGACAACAGGTTTTAGCATAGTAACATTAAATTTTGTTTTAATACAAATTTAAAGCAATTAATAATAAAAAGATAAAAATTAGAAAGTATAAAATACATATGATTGTCATTGTTTTAATAAGTAATCATTCTGTAAATAATTATAACGATCATTTATAACATTTTATTACATTAGTTATAAGCTAAAATGATGTCAAAGAAAAACTCTAAGTAGCTAATCAAAGGAGCACAAGGATTTGTTTCTTCCCAACTTTAAATTGATTCATTTCAAATACTATCTAAGAAGGGTAGGGATTTTGGAGCATATATTCTTTATATTTACTATACTTTTTTCAATATATCTTCAAGATGAAAATTATGTATTACCGTAAAATCCGGCGTATAATACGCCCTTTTAATATAAAAAAATTGATCAAAATTTACAGATGCATGGTATAATGCCTGGTGTACACAAATGAAAGCGCTTTAAAAATAAAAAGATGAGCATAGGAAAATTATTAGACTTCTATATATATCGAAATACTGATTATTTATATAAATGACATTCCTTATGAGCTTAACGGGTGTTCTTCTAGAAGTGTTTTCTAAGGCTTGGAAGAACCCCTCGAATAAATGACTATTAAACATAAAATGACTGCACACGTACATTATAGGTTTCTTTGGAAATACAGGGGGTGCGCGTTATACGGCGAATATACATTATAGGTTTCTTTGGAAATAAAGGGGGTGCGCGTTATACGGCGAATATACATTATAGGTTTCTTTGGAAATAAAGGGGGTGCGCGTTATACGGCGAATATACATTATAGGTTTCTTTGGAAATAAAGGGGGTGCGCGTTATACGGCGAATATACATTATAGGTTTCTTTGGATATAAAGGGGGTGCACGTTATACGGCGAATATACATTATAGGTTTCTTTGGAAATAAAGGGGGTGCGCGTTATACGGCGAATATACATTATAGGTTTCTTTGGAAATAAAGGGGTGCGCGTTATACGGCGAATATACATTATAGGTTTCTTTGAAAATAAAGGGGGTGCGCGTTATACGGCGAATATACCTAAAAATTAAAAAATGCAGCTTGAAGGAAAAGATGTGTGTTATGTCCACCGGATCTTATGGTACATCTTTAAATACAAATATTTAAAGAAGTGTTTATTGGCAATATGCTAATTTTAATTTTTTAACAGTTTTATTAGCCTTAATAAAACTTCATTGAACTTAGGATCAAAAAATAAGAATTAATTCGATCAAAAAAACTTAACCGTAAAATTCAATGAAAATTAATCACTATTTTAGATAAGTCAAATCGTAAAAGTAAATCAATCAAAATCAAATCAATAAAAAGCTAGTCTTAAGGTATCCGACTACTTGCGACAACTTTTTTTTGAAAAAATGGAAATATGAGGATTTTTTTGTAATTTTTAGATTTATTTAGTATATTTTAAGGAAAAAATCTTAAAATTGAAAGCAGAAAAAAAATTATTATTATTAAAATGGGAAAAAACTGATAAAAATGTACACAAAATTACATAAACGGGGCCCGCTCTGTACAAAATTTTTATGAGAAAATTCTCAATTTTTCAATTTTGATGTGTTACTTTATTATTCGTGTTTGAAATTACCTTCAGGATAAGAGATATTTCAATTTTTACAAAACCCAGAGCACTTTATCTTAGTGATTATACGAAATTGCTTAAAAAGAAAGTGTGTTTATATTCACATATAAAGGACTGTAAATTTTAAAATAAAGCAGCGATTGATAAATCTGAAGATCAAAACACTTCTACTGTTATACATAACATACACAAAAAATTTCAGCAAATTATTTTCAAAACTTTGAGCAATCGCTGTCCCCGTTTGAACTTTTCGCAAAAAAACCATTTCGAGTAAAACGCATTTTAAAGTTTGTCATCTTGTGTAAAGTTAAGGCATCTGCTTTTACTAAAACACTTGTAATTTTTGTTCTAGTGAATGGAAAATAAAAAACTTGGTATTTTTATTAAGCTTATATGATGGCCTATAAAATAATATCATAAACAAAATTTGTCAATTTTTGAAAAAAATCATGATTTTAGGGAAGTCGGATACCTTAAGTCAACTTCTTAATAACCTTTCTATAAGAATTTCCGAGATCAGTTTCTTCCTAACGTTTCTTAATACCACACCGTATCGTTTAAATTAATTCCACCATCTTTATTTTACCAAAAATCTCTCTCTCTCTCTCAACATAAAATCCAATCTAATCCAAAACCGTTCATTCCGCGCGCGTGTTTAGCATTTCTAAAACATTCATTATCTTACAACTTTTATTACAGTCAATTAATGTCGCATTGGTGACACCCAAATCCAAATAACTGATCATTCAATACCTCAAAAATCGGAAGCTAGCATACAAAATGTGTCTTTCGGAACAAACAGTAGGGAAATGGGGCAATATTAATCGCAAAGATTTGATGATTGTTGCCCAGAGTTAAGGGGAACCTAAAAGGGGTAGCATTGTCTCCCCTTCCCCCCCATGCACATTTCGTTACAAGAGCCTCCGGCAAACGAAGCGATTGGGGAGGGATGCCCAAAAAGTTCCCGTTACTGAGCCTGTGACACGTGACAAGGGTCAACAAGCCAGGGGAAATGAAATTATTAAGGTCCGAATGACACACCGGCAGGTATACAATGACGCAACTCTACCTCCAGCCCGCAGGCAAAGGGAGCGTTGAAGCATCGCAATATTGCAGGGCTGAGGCAAAAATGCTTCAATGTTGTGAATGGAGCCATATTACGGATCTAGTTTACGAATAATAGACATACGGGTAAATGGGACCATGATTAAATCGTGATGCCTAATCGAAATTGAACGAAAAAGTATGCTATGGTTAAAATGAAAAAATCAAGGGGGGAAATAAGTTTCTTTATCCCTCGATATTAACCAAATTTATACACACACACACACACACACACACACACACACACACACACACACACACACACACACACACACACATATATATATATATATATATATATATATATATATATATACATATATATCTGGGTATTTTGACATTAATTACTTTTTCAATTCCTACTATTAGCTTACACTCTCCTATATAGGGGATAACACACACACACACAGCCTTTGTTGTTCCATATCCCACAAAACCAGAACTGAACCAAACTCTCCCTATATATACATATATCTTCTACAAATTTTCAATCGTTAGTTATTCATTCACTCAAGTTCAAATACATTTTTTAAACTTGTTGTGGAGGACATTTAATGTTAATACAGTTTTTTCAAATATTAATTCATTAATTAAACTTAATTAATCAATAAATAGCAACAAACAAAAATAATAGTCCAACACCATATGAAAAAGAAAATCGCTGGTTGTGTCCCTGTAGCGCAATGGATAGCGCATTGAACTTCTGATCCAAAGGTCATGGTTTCGAACCCTACCTGGGATGGCCTAATATCTGGGAATATGATTTATAAATGAGTAAATTATAACAAACAAAAATAATAGTCCCCAACACAATATATAGAAAATCGCTTTCTATTTTGCCACTTAATATTGCGATTCTGTCATATGAATATACATATTTTTATTAATTGTAATTATTTAATAAAAAGTAACTACAATAAAATTTTTCTTTGTTTACCTAAGAAGGAAAATTAACTTAAAATAAAAAAAATTAACTCTTGGTGATGATTGATATTACATTTCGATTGATTGTCAAATAAAATTGATATAAAATAAAAATTGTCAAGGGACACTCTTTGTAAACTTCTTTAGTTGTAGAAATAAAGAACTGTGTTTTTTTTTATTGTAATTCACTTCCCCCACAGAATTAAATTTTAAAAATTCGAATCATTCATCAATTAAACTTTAAGATCAATGTTTTTGCGTCTTGTCATTACAAATTCTTACACTTCTTAGATTTTTATCGATGTATAAAATCTCGTCTCAAATCCAAAAAGTAATATTTATCTGAAGAACAGTTTACGATAGCTTCTCGTCAAAATTTGTAGCAAAATTCTGAGAAATATTTCTTGCGAAAAATCCCACGTAATACATACTTGGAATAACACGGATCAACTACATTGAATGCATGATTTTAAAATCACCCCTCACGCATTAACAATTATACCCAAGAAAAAAAGCTTGAAATTTAAAATGCAGAAACATGACTTTTGATATGTTATATAAAGGAATGAAGCCCAGTGGTTGAGTGGTAGTGTGTTACACTTCCACGCCACAGGTCTGGGGCTCAAATCCCAGACTGATCAAAGTCGATTCAGCCTTTCATCCCTCCTGTGGGTCGATAAATGAGTACCAAGTTTGCTTGGAAACTGAACACTAGGGGTTTCGCGTCAAACTGACCAACTAACGGAAACATCTGCACGTGCACCCCTGCACCTAAGATCACGTCAACTGAGATAGGCACAATAGGCATTGGCCCTCATGGGCTGTTGCGCCACTGAGCTCAGTTCAGATATGAAAGAATAATCAAGTACTGAATGAGTGAGTGAATATTTATAACGTCGCACTATTGAGCTACTCGAGGCCTTTTGGAGACAGACCTCGTAATTTTGAACTATGGTCAAATGACGACGACGACACCTGAGCTGGCACCCCTCTCCTAACTACCACACCAACGGGAGGACATTTAAGCTCTCGGCATATTTAACGTGCATCGGCCTCTGCAAGATGGGTCTTCAGTGATAATAGGATCGGTGAGTGAGTGAAGATTAACGTCGCACAGTTCAGCTACACGAGGGCTTTTGGCGACGGACTACGTAATTTTGAACCATGGTCAAGTGACGTGGACGACACCTGAGCTGGCACCCCCCTCTCCTAACTACCACACCACACCAACGGGAGGACGTTTCAGCTCTCGACAGATTTAGCGTGCATCGCTGCCCTACACGGCGGGTCTTTAGTGGTACTGGGCTCGAACTCGTGACAAAGCCAGCCACGATCCGATGCCTATACCACTCGGCTACCACGGCCACGATAATAGGATCGGAGTCATGAAGCGCCGGTCACAAGTCCGTTACTTTGACCACTAGGCCACCATGGTCATCAATGATTGAAGGTATCACTTTAAATATAGAATGGGAAATAAAATCGTTCTAAAATGCAAGCTTCAAAATAAAGTATTGGAGCTTTAGTTTTAAATTTGCAATTCAAAATTTAACAGATGAATATGAAACACAAGAATAAACAAAGTATCAATGAGTTTATAGTAGAAATACAGAACAGCGTTTTATAAAGATACAGATAAAACTTTACATTAATTTCTGCTAGATTTTTACAAATTTCATAATGTAAATTCAATTAACACACTGTAACAAAACTTTCTTAAATCATGAAATTATTTAATTTATTATTATTTATGGATTATAAAAGAGGGAGACCATGCCAATCTCTTCGGCTATTTGAGTAATTATAACACACCTGAGAACCATCATAAACCACAGTAGTGGCCCTCTTGCTATATTCTTGTCAATATTGGGGATCTGAAAGCATCTCAAGAATTTAAATTGGAAGAAAATACTGAGCATATTAATTTCAAGCAATGTTGAATTATATTTCAGATTTTTTTTGATAATCTATTTAAAAAAAAGATACACACTTCACAGTTTTAGACTATTATGACTTGTACTGAAAAAGTTTATAAATTAACTTCTAGGACTTAAAAGTGAAAAGAAAAAAATATGCCATCAAGACCAATTTTTTTTAAACGAATAATGAAATTAGCCGCTGATTTGCCTACTAAATATTAAAAGAAAAAAAACGAGATGTCAAGAGAGACATTACTTACCAAATACCATCAAATATTAAAAAAAGGTATGACCTCCACTATACAAAACATTTAAGCACCCTTGAAAGAGTAAAGGTTCACAGAGAGTTTTCTCTCTCACACATCCAAATGCTATAATCCAAGACATTGCTCTGATTTATTTTACTGACTTCTTCCGTTGACTGCCGGTCACGAATTCGTGGTTGGCTTGTCATGAGTTCGAGTCCTCGTGCTATTGAAGATTTGCCCTGTAGAGGAACTGATACACGTTAAATCTGTCGTGACTCAAAGTCCTCACTTTGGCATTGTGGAAAAGTTTAGAGAATGGGGTACCAGCGCAGCTGTCGTCCTCGTCATTTGACCGAAGTGTAAGATTACGATATTCTTAGAGTATGACGTCAATAAACAAGCTAAAAACAAATCAAATCAGGGTCATATCAACTGATTGATTGAATATTAACGTCGAACTGTTCAGCTACACGAGGGCTTTTGGCGACGGACCACGTAATTTTGAACCATGGTCAAGTGACGGGGTCATATCAAATAATCCTTCTTCGACAGTTAGTTTTTGACCGACACGTCGAAATTTTGCTGCAGCAAAATTTTGAGCCACGGTCATATTGCGAGATCCGTACTAGACTTGGCACTCCACATCTACGCCACGTTAATGTAAGTGCTTTGATTCTCGATAGATGTAACGAGCATCATCCCCTCTACACGACGGGACTTCAGTGGAAACAGGGCTGGAACACGTGGTTGCACTAAGAAATCGACGACCACTATCCCAATGCCGTGACGACTCGGCAATAACAAATAACCCATAGTAGGGCTATAACAGGCTAATGTTGATTGGTTGCATTCATTGATTGGGTTATACAGGTGATTGAGCAGCTAAGAACCCCTCACGTTGCTTCTAACTGAGACCCATCAGAAAAAAAAACTGAATTAGAGCAGTTCGATAATATTACTTACAATTAAAGTTAAAGTTTATACATCAGAGACTTGGCCATTGACTTTACGTGACATACCAATACATAGCCCCATTAGAGGAAGAAAAAACTTTACGTGATGAGGAAGCTTTGGGAATTTTTGTGAGAGAAAGATTTTACGCTGCATTCTTGGTGGGATCCAAGTGAATGGATCATGGAGAAGAAGATCTAACTCAGAACTATACAAAATTTACAAACAACCTGATATTGTAAAATTTGTCAAATTACAGGGACTTAAAGGGGATGGTCATCTGGTTAGAATGAATGACGATCGTTGCTGCAAGAAAATCTTTCTGGCAAAGCCCATGAGAAATAGACCTCGGGGCAGACCCCGTTAAGATGGATTGACTGTGTTGAGAAAGGCCTATAAATTTTAAAGGTAAAAAATTGGAAAAAAGTTGCCAAAAGTAGGGATGCCTGGAAAAGACTTCCGGAGAAGGCCAGGGCCCTCCCGGGGTTGTCGAGCCATTGAAGAAGAAGAAGAAAGTTATAGTAATATTAAAATGATGCAACGCATAACAGGTTTTGTTTTAAATCTAATTTGAGTTACTCTTTATATCTGTACAAAGTATTATTTGCAAAATGTTTACCAATTTCGATTTACGGTCTAATGAAGAAGGTATCTGAAAGTATACAAGGTGTGATACAAAAAAGACGAGCCTAAGTGTATAGCTTGAAAAAAGAGTGGAGTTGGCAACAACTGTTTTGGTGACTTCAGCCCACGCACCTCCTCTATCCATGTGACCAGTTTCGTCTTAATCGATTACGCCAGTTGAGTGTACTGCGTCATTCAGTGGACACGTGCAACTGCATTCTGCCAGAAAAATGTCGAATCAACATCAAGTTTCTTGTGAAGCTTAAGAAATCAGCCACGAAAACATTTAAAATATTAACCGAGGCTTATGAAGATGAAACTTTGTCTCGTACACATGTGTTTGAATGGTATAAGAAATTTTCAGGTGTAAAAGATGAGGAAACTGCTGTGCGCCGAAAGTCAGCGATTACAGACCAAAACATAGCCAAGATTCGTGATATGAGTGGGTTCTCACTCACATCAGGGGTCAGACTGTTAATCTAGACTACTACAATGAAGTACTAAAAATACTTCGTGAAAAAATTAGGAAAAAACTGTTAGAATTGCTAAGCGATGGATGGCTTTTGCACCAAGACAATTCATCCGCTCACATGGCCCTATCTGTCAAGCAGTTTCTAACCAGAAAAAACATTATTGTGATAAGGCATCCTCCTTATTCACCTGATTTTGCCCCATGCGATTTTTTTTTATTTCGTACAGTTAAATCTTGCTGAAAGGGAACCCATTTTGCCTCAGTTGAAGAGGTTCAGGAAAAAACGGAAAATCTCCTAAAGGAACTTCAAAAAACCTTGCTCCAGAACTGTTGCCAGCAATGGCAGCACCGAATGCAGAAGTGTGTAAATGCTGAAGGGAACTACTTTGAAGTTGAGAATGTCACGAAGAACTAATTCTGTAAGTACAATGATTCATTGGACCAGCCTCGTTTTTGGTATCACACCTTGTACTCCCAAATTTTTTTCTTATTCTTACTCATTTCTATCCCGCACCAAAGACACTTAAAAGGCCATTTACAGTAGATCTAACTATAACTTGAAAAAGGAGCCTCGAGCCCGCAATGAAGACAATTTAAATGTTAT